TTAAAATTGTATTTAAAATAATTGAAATCCTGCGATGAGTTTTTTTTTAGTTATGAAAATAATAATTGAATTCTTGCAAAACGAATTTTATTTTTTATAAAAATAATTGAATTCTTGGGAAGAACTTTATTTAAATTTTGTTTTAATTAACTTGTATTTTTGCGAAGAAGTTTATAAAAATCTATTTAAATGATCGATTTTTTACAAAAAATTTTATGAAAATTGTGTTTTAAATTTTAAATTGACAAATTAATTGAATTCCTGTGAAAATATTATTTTTATGAAAGTAATTGAATGTTTACAAAGAATTTTATATAAACATTTTTTTTTAAATAATTGAATTCTTTTAGAATTTTTTTATTAAAATTTTTTATCAAAGTAGTAGATATTAAAAATAATTGAATTTTGAAAATCTTTTGAAAATAATTGAATCGTTTGAAAGGTTTTTATATTAAAATTTTATAAATTTTTTCTAAGAATATTGTATTAAAATTTTTGAGAATAATTTTTTTTTTCAACTATTAGCGAATAGTTAGTAGTATGCTAGTAGTAAATACTATAGTATACTAATACTAAATACTATAGTGTACTAAAAAATACTATACTACACTAAATACAATACTATATTTTATTTTATTTTTACTATTATTGAAATCATCCTCTGTATGTATATTGTCAAAAGAGATAAAAAGACAAGAATGTTATATTGACATTTGTTTCATTTATATCAAAAGGAAATAAATTCATTACTAAATCTGTAGAAAAATAATAGGCTACAGGGGGTTATACAAAAAAAAAAAAAAAAAAATTGTACAAAAAAAATTGCAATATAACCCAGTGAGCTCTCTTTTGTATCCCGGATGAGAAGCCAAACAGGCATATATATATATGCTAAAAAATGTTTTTAATTTTCGACGATTCCTTTCAAGTTCTACGCATTTTCCCACATTAATATTTTTCCTATTTATTTTTTATTTTTTTCTATTATTTATTAATTTCAAATAGCGTTTAGTGCAGTATTTAGAGTAGTATAGTAAAGCACTTAATGAAGTACAGTTTTAGAATAATAATATAATGTTTATTAATAATAAATAATTTAATATTTATTAAAGAGTTCAGTATAGCTTTCACTCTAGTCCTTAGTATGATGTTTAGTATATAGTATTTAGTATAATATTCAGTATAAATATTACTCAAGTCTTTAGTATAGTGTTTAGTATAGTATTTAGTATAACATTCATTATTGCTTTTACTTTAGTCTTTAGTATAGAATTTAGTAAAATATTCAGTACATATTTTACTCTAGTCCTTAGTATAGTGTTTAGTACAATATTAAGCATAATATTTAGAATAGTATTTATAATATTTAGTACAGTATTTATAGTATATAGTACAGTATTTATAGTATATAGTACAGTATTTATTATAGTATTTAGTATAGTACTCAGTACAGTGTTTAACATAAGCCGTTAAACCGGCTTTAATCATTAATTAACTTTTAATTGAGTTTGGTAGAATTAGCCCTTAGTCTAAAAGTCAATAAACTTTAGTAACAATTAAAATATTACAAAAGTTGCAAATAAAAATAAAAGTGCAATAATAATAATAATAGTAATAATGACCAAAAATAGTAATAATAATTTATCCAGTATTGTCCCTTAGAACAATGCATATACCCAATATCCATAAAATACAACGTAAATAAAAATCGAAATTCTTTCCAAACATTTTCAGATTATCATCATCATCATCGATTTAATGAAATTAATATATAAAATTTCTTGTCGAGACAAATTGATTATTATAGAGCGAGGCAATGTTGTTCTCAATTTAAAATGAATCAAAATAGTATAAGCTTCGATCTGCTATATATTATATGGTGTTGAGAGATGCTCGTCTTTGCTTTACTGCTCGTTGTAAGAGAGTCAAGTGAGACGAGTGATTGGATTTGAAAGACGAGACACTTCACTGAAAACTGTTATTTCTTGATCGTTGTACGATCGACATTACATCTCTTCTTGACAAGCCCACTATTAATAGAAGGAAAGAAAAAATATATAATCCAAAATAAGAACAATTTTTTTTTCTATTTTTATAGAATTCCTCACGAAGAAAATTATTTGCAGAAATTATTTATATTGGACGCAATATTAGGGAAATTGGTTCCTAACAACACTATTAATAATTACTCCTGACAAAATTAACATTTTAGAAATAACAAAAATAATTTAATATTAATAAAATATTAACTCACTTCACTGAAAACTGTATATAAGTGTTAATTTTATTGAAGAGAATATGAAAACTAAAAATTTGGTTCTGCATTTTTTAATTAAATCTCTAATCGAAGAAGTGTATCTCAGTAAATGTAGATATAGTTCTCTAACAACGTTAACCAACGGATTTGATTCTTCCGGCAGAATTCTAATCCAAAATGTAGATTCTCATCAAGATGTAATTTACAAAGAGACTTTTATTCATCTTGCAAGCATCAAAGAAGACAAGGAACACCAAGAGAAGAATTTTCCTTTTTACCATAAAATTAGATCGTACTAGACAAAAAAAGCTGAATATCTATTATGCACCAAAATTGTTTTTGTTGACTCCTTTATAACAAAAAATTTCCTTATTATTTATTATAAAAAGAAAACTAAATACCTAGATTAAAAATCTACAACAACATTGATTCAAAATTCTCTCTAGAGTAAAAGAAATTTTTTTTCTGAAAATTTAGCTCGAACCGAGCTCGAACTTATTCAACTGATTAGAGGTTCTGAAGGTTACGTTAGAAGGATTGATCCATACCTTTACTTCTCTGCAACGAAAAATATTCCTAATTTAGCCAAACTGCTTTCTAACGGTTTATACTTACAAGAGGAGTAAACAAAAAAAACTAAATCAATCATTAACTTGATTTTAATCAATCATTTCAATCATTTAACGTGATTAAGGTTCTAATAACAAATTCTGGACAATTTTTTACCAATTGTATACTATTTAGAAATAAATAAATTTAATATTCCCTCACTGTTCCCATTTCGTCCTAAATGGCTAAAAAAAGCCGAAACTGTCTGACAGTAACAATTTTATTATACAAGTACGAAAGAATCAGCCAAACTCATGGAACTTGACATAAATTTTTTACTATCTGATCTGATCCAAATTTTGTATGTGTATTTTACTTTATGTCTGTTATTTCACTTTATGTACGTATGCCATTTTACTTTTTGTATTCCACTTTATGTATACCTATATATGTCATTTTTGAACTTACTTTTTGCTTTTTACTTCATGTACCTGTCATTTTACTTTTTGTATTTTACTCTATGTACCTAGACATTATTTTACTTTATGCACTTCAGGTAAATAAATTATTTCTTATGCACTTTGTTTTACTTTTTGTACATTGAAACCTAACGGAATGCCTTTTGCTCCTAAACAAAATTATTCTTTACTCCATTTAGAAATAAAAATAATTATTTACTTCATTTAGGAACAACTTTAAACTTGTTCCTAAATGGAGTGAACAATAATTTTATACAATACATTTGTAGTTTTTTTTTACTATTCTTTACTTCAATTCAAAAATTTACTTTATTTACACACTAAGAAGTCTCTACTTGGCGAAAATTAGCAGATTCCAAAAATCTAACGTCTGTTCCAAAAAGAAACCCAAAATTTGCGGTTTTAATTTAATAACTTTTTAACGGATTTTTTAAATCTGTTTTTTAAGAGAACCATTCGAAATTATTGACTTATGACAACAGAACCAGGACGAAACAAAAGGAACTTCGAAAAGACCTAAAAGAAAATCTCGTCTTCTCGTTTATCTGGTTTTTGGTCCTAAAAATTTTTGATTTGGGTAATGTTTCGATACACGATATTTTTTTCCATGCAAATTGAATTTTGGATTGAAGTTTTTACGAGGAGCTTGAAGAAGGTCCTCGTGCAGCAAACGACTGCTTTTGTCAATCTGCTTCTAAATTCTAAAGGCTATTCGAAATGGAACAACAGTAAAATGACATCTAACAGTTATAAATTTTTGACGAGTCCTAACAGAGCCTAAAATTTCATAAGAGATCCTTGGGGTCCTAACAGATAACAAGAGATCGTAAGAGGTCCCAACAGATCCTAAGGGGTCCTAAGAGATTCCAAGAGGTCCTTAGAGATTCCAAAGGGTTCTTAGAGATTCCAAGATACCCTAAAAGATCTTAGAGGTACCCTAACAGATTCCAAGAGATCGTAAGAGATCCTAACAGATCTAAAGAAATCCTAAGAAATCGTAAGAGGTCCCAACAGATCCTAAGAAGTCCTAAGAGATCCTTGAGGTCCCAACAGATTCCAAGGGATCGTAAGAAGTCCTAACAGATTCTAGGGGGTCCTAACAGATTCTAAAAGATCGTAAGAAGTCCTAACAGATTCCAAGAGATCGTAAAAAGTCCCAAAAGATTCTAAGAAGTCCTAAAATATCCTAGAGGTCCTAACAAATTCTTGAGGTCCTAACAGATTTCAAGATATCCTAAGGAATCCTAGCAGGTTTCAAGAGATCGTAATAAGTCCTAATAGATTCTAAGAAGTCCTAACAGATCCTAAGAAGTCCTAAGAGCTCCTAACAGATTCCAAGAGATCGTTAGAAGTTCTAACAGATCCTAAAGGGCCCTAAAAGATTCTAAGATATCGTACCAGATTATAAGAAGTCCTAACTGATCCTAAGAAGTCCCAAGAGATTCTAGAGGTCCTAACAGATTCCAAGAGATCGTAACAGTTCCTAAGAGGTCACAACAGATCCTAAGAAGTCCTAAGAGATTCTAGAGGGGTCTCTAGATATCAGATCCTAGCAGATCAAAAGGGGTCCTAACAGATTCAAGGGACCCTAACAGATCCTGACATACATAACCCAACAGTGATTTTGCCAGATAATTATTAGAGAAAATAGATAAAGGAAAAAGTACTGAACCAAAAAAATAGATAAAAGGAAAAAAAAGGTGGAGGCGTGGTACCTTCGCAGATGTACCCCTGCTGTATGAGGCCCCAGAGCATGTCGGTGCAGCTATGGCAGTACGTCGGCTTGTGAAAGGTTTTCTTGCTGAAGCTGTGTCCATGGCTGGCTGGAGTCTCGGCCGAGACCGACGCCATGATCCCCGATCCACCGCGGCACCGCTCACGCCAGATTCTCACCGTGAAGCTACGTAGGGCGCGCCGCGCATCGACATATTATATATTACATGCCAACCACTACGTTATCTCGAAACCGTACGCGAACATTGCGTTGCTTTAGCCCGAGGCCCGTGTCTTCTTCAACTTCTTCTTTATCAATATTATCAATTGCCCTTACAATTTCTACTTCTACAACTTCGTCTTCGTCAAAAATCGCTTTTACATGCCTGAGGCGCATTTCCGGATCAGGAAATCGCTCCTTCCTTCGCACCTCGTTGTCCTCGCCCTGGCCCTCTCACTGTCACACTCTATACGGTTACTAGCCGCCTCCTCACAGCTGATGGGCATATCACTCGTGAAAATACACTATCGGCGCAACGTACGCGCATCCAACAAACGAACCGAGCGCAAATTGCCCTAGACACCAGCCTACTGATACTGTATTCCACTGACATTCAGCCCCACTCCGCAAATGAAGGAGGGCGCCAGCCTCCACAATACAGGACACCCTTTTTTTTATCTCTCTTTTGCAATCGAAAAAAAAATTTGTCCTAAATTTGTCCCACTTTTCAAATCACACTCCTACTCGTCTTCGTCGACAATTTCGATAAAATACCTAATGTCATTTGATTAAATCCCCACACTCGCGAATTTTTTTTTTTTTCGGATGCTGGATGATAACTCCTTCCCCCCTTTATCTCAATTGAAACACAAGATAATGAAATTTTACAATAATGTTCATTTTGTTTTTCTTTCTATCGCCAATTATCTTTATCTCATACATTAATGAGAATTTTTTTTTTTTTCAAGCCCGAGGATTCCCGGATCCTGCACTGTCGTTAAAGCAACGAGCGACGTCCAACGTCGACAGAGGAACGACGTCGACCATGACGGTGACGACGTGAGTTGCGCGCCGACGCGACTTTTGTGACGTAGGTTGAAACGCGTGTATACCCGCCAGGGTATATCAATCGAGAGAAAGAGAGAGAAAGACAAAAATATTGAGAGAAAGAGAGAGGGGAGGGGCAAATTTTCGGAGAATGGAGATTTCTCATTATTCTTATATGCGCTCGCAATGGTAATTGGGGGGAAATTAGTCGGGAAAAAAAAAGATTAGTTTTTTGGTCATATTGATTTTTTTTCCCCAACCGAAAACACTATTATATTCATTGTCATTTTCAAAGAATATGCCAAAAATTCATTCTCTCATTAAAAATTATTATCGTATTTATAGAAAATATTATATTTTCAATGTTGAATTATTAATAATACCTACTGGTTATTGTACAAAATAAATATAATTTATAGGCTTCGTACTCGATAATTAATTTTAAAAACAAAGCTTTGACTGAAAAAAATAGTAAAAAAAAAGTAGTTATGGAAAAATGAAATTCGACGACTCAATTTTTTGAAAATTTCCTAATTGAATTTCGTTCAAAAAAAAGGATAATTTTTTTTTAAGTAAATATTTAAATACTTATTTATTTTTCCAAAGGATTTAAAATATTTTAAATGATTTCCAAGACAAGCCTTTTTGAAATTTAACTATTTCTAAACATTACAACTGTTTCTTCCAAAATCCAATTATACTCTTCTGTTGAAATTCTTAATTAAAATTATTAAAAACTAATAATTTTAATTAAAAATAAAAATTTGCATATTAATTTTATAACAATTAAAATTTTCAAAAATTTTCATTCAAAAAATCTCCTGAAAGGTAATTATTTCTAAAAATTCACAACAAAACGCTGCTAATAATCAATTATTATCTAAATTTTTAACTGAAAATCAATTCTTATTAAGAAATATCTACCAGAATTCAATTATTTAAATTCAGAAACAAATAATTTATTAAATAATTGAATATTTTCTAAAAATATTGAATTTTTTCTAATTGAATTCTTACGACAAATTTTATAAAACATTTTTGTTAATAATAATTGAAAATAATTGAATCAAAAATTTTTGAAATAATTGAATTCTTTCGAAGAATTTTAATTAAATTTTCAAGAAAACGGGATTTTTCAAAGAATTCATTTAAAATTGTAATAGAAATAATTGAAATCAATTGAAATTAACTAAATAATTAAATGCCTGAAAAAACATTATTATTTATGTGAAAAATATAAAAAAATTTGTAAAAATACAAATTCAATTATTGTTTCGAAGAAAATTAAATTAAAATTGACATGAAAATAATTGAATTGAATTGAAAGTTAAACAGCTTCTGACAATTTTTAAAAATAATTGAAGTAAATCAAAAAATTTTATTCAAATTGTATTAAAAATAATTAATTATTCTAAAGAATTTTACAACTTATGAAAATAATTGAATTCTTACGACGAGTTTTTATTAAAATTTTCTTTTAAATAATTGAATTCTTTTGGTAAATTTTATGGAAATAATAGACATAAAAAATAAATAAATTTCGGAAAATTTTATAAATTTTTTGAATTTCTACAAAGAATAAAAATAATTAAAAATAATTGAATTCTTACAAAGAATTTAATTGAAATTTTGGAAAATAATTAAATTCTTTCATGAAATTTAAATAAAAAATATATTGAAAAATAATTATTAAATTTTAATAAACAAATTAAATCAATTTTTTTTTTAATAATAGAACTCTTTTAAAGAATTTTTATTAAATTTTTTAAGAATAATTGCATTTTTCGAAGAATTCATTTAAAATTGTTTTAAAAATAATTGAAATTTTCTTTATTTATAAAAATAATTTAATTCTTGCAACGAATTTTATTAACATTCCAAAAAGTAATTGAATAATTTTATTAAATTTTTTTTAAAAATAATTGAATTCTTGCAACGAATTTTATTAAAATTTCTAAAAATAATTGAATTCTTTCGAAGAAGGTTATAAAAATCTTTTTAAATAATTGAATTCATTCTAAGAGTTTTAATAAAATTTTTAAGAATAATTGCATTTTTCGAGAAATTTATAATTGAAATCCTGCAATAAATTTTATTCTTCAATTATTTATGAAAATAATTGAATTCTTGCAAAGAAGTTTATAAAAATCATTTTAAATAATTGATTTTCTTCGAAAAATTTTATGAAAATTGTTTTTTTAAATAATTGAATTCATGTCAAAATTTTATTATTTATGAAAATAATTGAATTTGCAAGAATTTTACATAAAAACTTTTTAAATGATTGAATTCTTTTGGGGAATTTTTTATTAAAATTTTAGGTATTGAATAATAATTGAATAATAATTAAATAATTGAATTTTTAAAAAATGTTTGAAAATAATTGAATACCTAGTTTAATTTAATCACAAGAAAATAATAATTTTTTCGACTTTATTGTTCGATATTTAATACGTAGATTAATAAATAATCGAGCAGCCTAATTTAAATATTATATAATAATGATATAATCAAGCATAGCTTAATTTAAATATCGAGAAACGTATAATATGGCAAAATGAAATAAATTACATAATTAATGGAAATTGTGTACACGCACGTTTGGTAAATTAAATAGTAGATGGAGGCCGAAAGAATTCAGGTCCGCGGGCACTGACTTTTACTACTTAACCCTCGGCTGACCGATAACATCTGTTTATACTGCTTGATACGTACCACTTATATTATGTACTAACTCACTTTATGTTGAGTACATGTGGTAAGTGCGTATAAAACTCTGCTTATAATCCCTACTAATAATTACATCGTAAGGCTTATCCTCTTTTCGGCCCTTTAATTTAAATTTATATTTAAAAATATAACTAATTTTTTAGTAGAAAAAAAAATACCAAAATATTTCCTCTACTAATCGTTTAGTATTTATTTCAATTTAAAACTTCAATTCTAAACATTAAGCTTAACATTAACCTAAAAAGAGTACTTTAAGACCCATATGCGCATGACAAACAAAAAAATACAAGATTTTCAAAAAAGTGGGGGTAAAGAAATCAAAAAATATTTTTTTCATCTATTTTTTGATATCGTAGTCGTTTTCAATGTATTTTTGTCCGCTGAATACGATGTCAGGTCTCAAAATTGGCTAACATGGCGAGATTTTGAAAAAAGTGGGGGTAAAGAAATCAAAATATTTTTTTTCCCTACTTTTTGACATCGTAGTCGTTTTCAACGTATTTTTGTCCGCTGAATACGAATCCGGGTCTCAAAAATGCCTAACACGTCGGGATTTTAAAAAAAGTGGGGGTAACGACTTAAAAATATTTTTTTTTTCTATTTTTTGACATTGTAGTCGTTTTTAATGTATTTTTGTCCGCTGAATACGAATCCGGGTCTCAAAATTGTCTGCCACGTTGGGATTTGAAAAAAAGTGGGGGTAAACACTTCAAAATATTTTTTTCCCCTATTTTTTGACATCGTAGTCGTTTTCAACGTATTTTTGTCCTCTGAATACGATGCCAGGTCTCAAAAATGCCTAACACGTCGGGATTTTGAAAAAAGTGGGGGTAACGACTTCAAAATAATTTTTTTTCTATTTTTTGACATTGTAGTCGTTTTTAATGTATTTTTGTCCGCTGAATACGAATCCGGGTCTCAAAATTGAATAACACATCGTGATTGTAAAAAAAGTGGGGGTAACGACCCCCCAAAAAAACGTGTTAATGAGTCTTTACCCCCATGTTTCTGAGAATCTTCAATTTTTGTCTTACACATGTTCTAATTTATAATTTATAAATTATAATTTCTTGTACTGAAAATTATTTTTTGAATTTACTAACTACTGAAGCAAAAAATCACGAGTATAAAAATTAATTATTTTTAACTAATTCAAATTTAGAGAGTGTCGATATGCATGTGTAACAACCCCTTGAGGAGGACCTTTGACATTTTCAGATATGATCGACGTATGTTCCCCTTTCATCAATTAATATTGCCGAACATTATTTCAAATTCTATGAATATATATATATATACGTATATAGGTGGAAATATTCTCAATCGTGAACATTACGCCGGAAGTGCTAATACACTACTATATTCAAAGTACACTGCAAGGCACACTCACACGGGAATATAAAATTCTTTACAGAAAAAAAAAAATCTTCCCTTTATTCAAACTAGGTGAATTTATAACGAGAAAATGTAGATAAAATAAAATAATATCTACTATAATCTTTCAAACTTTGAGAAAAAAATTTAATTTTATTTAATATTAGACTATTTTTTTTTATAAACTAAAATATATTATTATAATTAGCATAGTAATATTTTTTTCCCGTTTCGAAATGAAATTAATACG